GCATCGGACACAACAGACTGTCTGGACTGTGAAGGCTGTGAAGAAGGGAAGATTCATTCTTGAAAGGTCAAATTGTTTGTTGACCCTGTTTGTTTGTGCCATTTTCAGTGGTGTGTGTGTTTGAAGGACCTCGCTGACTGTAGATGTTTAATACGGTGTAGAGACGCTCGCTGAGTGCCCTTAAACTAACTGAGCGGTGATGTGGAAAAATTATTCAGCCGGATTTTCTTCTGAGGCTTAGCTTGCTCATTTGTTAGCCAATACTTTATGTACATATATTCCCAAGCTGCTCTGGTAAATAATTATTTTATCAGAAAGAGAGAGAGAGAGAGAAACGAAAGATTAAAAAGTGCCACAAAGTGAGAGAAATAAATGCTGCTAGTCAGACACAAAGATTTCCAGCTAATTTGTCAGTCCACAGTTATGTCACTCAGCCACAGCCAATCAGAACATACTTGATGTTGAGTGTACAGTTGGAATGGCATTTTGGACCAATGAGATTTCGCTAGGGGTGTGGCTTTTTTTGATTTTTGGCTCAAATTAAAATCGTTTTAGCTTCTTTCTTTTTTTATGTCATCAGCCTAGGTAGGTTGGTAGGTTTAGACATTTTCACCTGTGAATTTGGTTGCTCTTCTGTTGGTGGCATAGTTGAAAATATCTCTCTTCACTTCATATTTCAAATCGCAATATGAATATGAATGTGATTACAGACAGAGCTGAGCTAAGCACACTGATAACATCTTGTACGACAGTTATTTTAGTATTATTTATATACTATTATAGTGTTTATTAATAATTAAATTTAGCTTTATTTTTACATTTTATTTTCTAACATTGTAATTGAATGTGCTTTAGCCTATTTTTATTTTAGTTTTAGTAATTTTACTTCAATTAGTTGCCAAGGCAAGGTATTTTCACTTCAAGTTTATCATGTAATATTTCAATTGTATTTTATTTCAACTAACACGTTTTTAATAGTTTTAGCTTTAGTGTGAAAGTCCATGTATTAGGCTGAATAGCTTTGATAACCTCAAAATGATCTTTTAACGTCGACTATCACAGAAACTATGAAGAAAGACTGCCTCCTAGTGACCATTGTATGTATGACAAAAAGGAGGAAGGCAAAATCACTGATCTCTCTCAGTCTATGCATTGCTGAACGTTTAGTGGACACAGAAAGATTGCACTGGAAATGACAATGTATTGATCATTTCTTTCTTTTCTCTTCTTTTATCCACTCACCTGTCCTAACTTGCTTGTATTTTATCCCCAGTCCATCCTTTCCTGACCTCTTCTCATTATGCTGAGGTTATAAGTCTTTAAGCCCTGTATCTATTCCTTTAGCCTTTAGTCTTCCTTTATAAGGAAAGTTGAAATAAAAAGCAAGAAATTTTCAATTCTATTTAGGATAATGAATAAGAATTCAATTGACTTTATCCAACGCAGTCAGTTTTTGGTTTCATAAAGGAGCGAACATTTAAAATTTTTTGGTCAAACCTCCATTTCCTTTTCTGTCTCACGGCCTCAGACTATCCTAGCTTTGCCAATCATTTCTTTTTGCACTGGCATGTTGACTATCAGCCTCCGAGTGGTCCTACATTGCCCCCGTTTTACCCTGAGATCTGATCCTATCCAAGGTGAACGCTTCATGGCGACGATGACCCTAGAAACCAGGGGAGCACAGGTGACCTCTGAGCCTAAATCACACATGGAAGTAAAGCATCTCCTCCGCTAAAGCAAGCACAACACATCAGTACTGAGGAGCTTTGACCAAGGTACGAGTCTAATTGTAATTTTATAGTTAAAAAAAGCTGGTCGTATGGTTACAAATAAGAGCCAGTATATGTACACTGAATAAGCGATGTAAATTATATGGTATACTAAACATGAAGCAGTTGCAATCCACTAATGTACAGTAAACAAACTAATGTGATCGTGAAACATTGTAGGGTGAATCTCATGAAAATATGCCCATATCTTGATATCATGAAAACATGCCCATATCATATTTTATCCCAAAGCTTCTATTAGGACTTTTAATGCCTTCTTTTTAGGACTATTGAAGTGCTTTGCGTTTATTTTCACCCCAAAATGCATCCTCATTACAGTAATGCATTTTAAACACCTTTTTAGGTAATTCCCATTATTTGAAATTTTTATTTTTATATTGGATGCACAATATTGCTATATATGAAGAGTTCAGATGCAAAAGCCTCTAAATGCCATTTGAAATTTTCTTCTTTAATGATGATTTTTATCAAACTTGTATATTTAAGTTCAGTAATTTCACTTAAATAACAATTAATAGGTAATTATAATTGCCATTTAAGTGAAATCACTGAACTTAAATATACAAGCTTGATAAAAATTATCATTCTAGAAGAAAATTTCAAGTGGCACTTAGAGGCTTTTGCATCTGAACTCTTCATATATAACATATAAGCATGTTTTAATGATATAAAAATCTCTTATATGTCAAAAGATTATGGAAAACTTGATTTCTGACCCCTTTAAGCGAAATATATTTTTTTATTTCTTTCCTGTTATTTTGAGGTGAAATATGACTACGAAATTATTGTTCTTGACAGGTTTCATGAGATTCGCCCTTTAACTGATGGTCAGTTTTAGATATTAGCTTAAAGGGATACTCCACTTTTTTTGGAAATAGGTTTATCAGAGTTAAACAGTTTAGTTTTACCGTTTTCGAATCCATTCAGATGATTTTCTGATATTTAGAAGAATATCAGTAATCAGACAGTTTCTGGTCTCATTGACTTCTCTTTTCCTATGGAAGTCAATGGGACCAGAAACTGTCGGGTGACTGATATTCTTCTAAATATCAGAAAATCACCTGAATGGATTCGCAAACGGTAAAATAAACTGTTTAGCTCTGGGGGAGTGGTAAAATGAACCTATTTCCAAAAAAAAAAAAAAAAAAAAAAAGTGGAGTATTCCTTTAAGTGCAAATCAGACTGTCTAATTAATCTTTCTATAAATAATATTCTCTATTCAACTAGAAAATAAATGTTACCTTACAGTTAAATACAGTAGTGAACATCTTCAAGCTATTGACAATATTTATCAAGAATAAGCTAGATATTTTATATAAGATGAACTTTTGTATTTTTATACTAAAAAGGGAGAATGTGTAAACATTAAGAAGATAACTCGAGGTACATGCCTTATCCAAATTCATATCGTATGAGTTCTTGAAAAGCGTATGATGAAGAATGAAACCTGCAATCTTAATACTATATGAATCAAATACATTTTGTGTATGTTTCCCCCAGTGGATTTGAAGTGTGAGAGCAAAAAAAATAAGCGTTATATTTTGTTATTTGACAGCATATTTAAATGTTATGCGTGAAGCACTTTGTGTGTCACTGGGACGTATTCGCATGATGAATAACCAGTTGACGGTGAATAATAAATTGCTATAGACTGTTTAGATCAGTATTCCGATAAATCGAAATTACATTCATATTTGATGAATGCCAAGGGTTTGTAAACAACTGCCTCACTGCCATTGTTTCTCCATTTTATGCTTAGTATATATATATATATATATATATATATTTAAAAGATGCTATAGTTTGGCTTGGTGGTCGTGTCCATCAGATACCTAATACATACCTCATTACTTTCTTTTTTTGTGTCTTAAAATGACTTCACTGAAGTAGAATAGACCCAAACTCTGATGCGACACACACCCGAGCACCATATGCTGTGTTAACACACTGATAAATGTGCAAAATACATGTACGAAACAACAGAAGAACTGTGTAACTGTATATAAACTGTATGATCATGGATATGTTTAATTTAGGGTATTTTTTGTAAACTTTTTTTTTCTACCAAAAGATTTTGAGAGTTCTGAACTGCATGTAGATGTAGATATCTTCTCAAAGTCTGCATGCAGAATCCTCTCTCTGTAAGTTCTGTTTACTAGTGTATGATAGATGGATTTCCGAATGAATCAAGAGACACTTTTTTTTAAAGAATAAACATAGTTCTATGTGAGTAGACGGGTCAATCTGATCCTTTTCACTGTTGTCTAATCTGTAACAAACCATTCAAGCATTCCAAACCACTTTTGGTGATTTAACATGTCTAAAAAAAAAGAAACCCCCATTTTTCATTAAAGGGATAGTTCACTTTGAAATTGATTTTTGTTATGTTTTAGCTTACCTCATAGGCATCCAAGATTTCTCTTTGTTTCCACAGTATTTTCAATTTTGATATTTTTATGTCAAACCGTTGTTGTCTGTCAGTCATATAATGGAGGTCTATGGTCACCACCTCAAAGAGCATGCACAGAGAAGTCAAGATTAAACATGATTTAATGACTCGTAAATGTAAGTACACACTGATGGCCTAAGACACGAAACGAGCGGTTTGTGTGAGAAAAAAAACAGTATTTATAGCGTTTTTACCTCTCGTTATCACAGCCACGTCCAAGTGATCTGAGGGCGCGGGTGCTTTGTGGCTTTGAGGTAAAAACAATATAAATACTGTTCATTTTCTCACAAAACCGCTCGTTTCTTGTCTTAGGCCATCAATGTGTACTTACATTTACGAGTCATTAAATCATGTTTAATCTGGACTTCTCTGTGCATGCTCTTTGAGGTGGTGACCATAGACGTCCATTATATGACTGACAGAAAAGAACGGTTTGACATAAAAATATCAAAATTTTAAATACTGCGGAAACAAAGACACCTACATCTTGGATGCCCTTGAGGTAAGCTAAAACACCAAAAATTTATTTCAAAATGAACTATCCCTTTAATGCAACACATAGAATGTACATAAATCTATCGACAACTACTTGTGATAAAACAAAAACAAAGTGTGAATGCAATGTTGACCAATAGAAATATATCTATATGGAAATGTTATAATGCAAAAGTTGTTTTAATGTTGATAAAACCTCGTCTGGTTCTGTATGTACAAGAGACTGTTGGTCTAGAAATGTTCTCGTGCTGTTTTTGTGACTATTAAAGTGAATATCTTCTACTACATGTGCTTGTGCACTAATTGTTATCCAGAAATGCTGTACTTTTATACGTGTAAACTGCCACTTTGCCCAGTATAAAATCATTATGATGTAATACATACTGCATGTAGAAAGAAAAAGACTGATTTGTATGACAAAAAATATATTTACACATATTAGACGCAGCTAGTTTTCAGTAGTTGGTGTGAGCGTACAGTAAGCATTTCGTGGGAAAATCGATTAAGTGTCTAAATGTAAAATGTAGCTGAAAATCCAGTTGTTCAAGGGTTAATATTATAAAACCTTTCAAGAATGTGCCATATTTCACCCCAAAATCAAAATAAAACTGTATATAACTCAAATTCTTTCAATTATATTATCCAAATATAATTAATTTTTTTTATAATTTACATTTTTCTTTAAATTTTCGGCTACATATGAAATATAAAAGCACATGATCTTTGATAAGTGTTTTCCCTAAAAGTGTTCTGAATTTAAAATAAATATTTGAAGTTAATTTAGAGCTTTTTATAGCTGTTTAAATATCTCTTGTAAACTGTTTTTGGCTTCAGTAGTTGAGTCCGTTCCTCTGGGAATCCTTCGAGCTGCGCGTGTTTCACAGAGAGATGTCTGACGACACGAGAAGCTGCTGAGCCGGTTTCCATTTGGCGCTTCGTCTACCTCCGTCGGCTCTGATATACGGCTGGTTCCTCAAATCTGCAAATACACACAGTCAGAATCCTCCCCTGATGAAGAGTTTTTGAAAGAAAGGGAAACATCAGATCTATAAGGCAGAGCTGAGGGAGGCACTAGCTGGAAGTTCAGTGTTACAGAAGAGCAAAGCTGACATGGATAGCAGTGTCTAGATGAAGAGCGATACCTTCAGAGAGAGAAGAGAGAAAGCAAGAGACGGTTATACACAAGTCCCATCGCAGAGCAGACGAGAGGAACGCTTCCCAGAACGGGCCGTGAACGGCACCGCCTGCAGAGCTGGGAACCAGACCGAACAAGAGATGTTAGAGGAAGCCAGAAATAAGACAAATTGAACTAAATACACAATATACTCTGAATATCAAAAGCAGAAAAATAACTGGCAAAGTGACGAGTGAAGAGAGAATTAGACTTGGCAAAGAATCCCGAGACACCACGAGGAACGGAGAACAAACGCTCTGTGTTCAATTCTCGTGAAAATATCTGCTTAAACAGACCGTTCGGGACAAATTTAATTCTATATCAGTGTATAGTTAGGCTTATAAATACATTTCAATATATTTATGGTTTATAAATATATATTTACATCTGTAATATAAAAAAAGTATACAAATGTATATATTAAATAATTATATTTGTGAATCTTGAATCATGTATATTATATAAATGTCTTTCAAAATATAGTTTATGAATATATTTACATTTTTTATAGAGTTAATGGGTCTTTTCAAATGTATGTAAACTAAACATCTAATTTTACATGTATAGTATTACATTTATATAGAAATGTATTTATTAAAATGAATATTTATACATATATAATATTTATAATGTATACATTATATTTATACATTATAAATATTATATTTTTATAGTAATGTAGATAGGAGTATTTATACATGTGTATATTATATAAATGTTTAAATATACAGTATTTATAGTAAATATATTTACATTTTTATAATATATATTAGTCTGTACCAATCTATAGTATATAACTATATTTCAATATATTCTATATGTCTATAATTCTATATTATAACCTCTAAATATATACATAATTATACATTAAAATATTTTAAAATGGGTCTTTACACAAATTTACATATTTTTCCAATAATTTAGTATACATTTATATTGTAAAAAACATTTGTATTAAGAACCATTTATGCTATAAAAAATAAATATACATGGAAATACAATTTATATTTTTTCTATAAATAACCATTTATTATATATCAATTTTAATTATAAATGTGCATTATTTATATATATATATATATATATATTTTATTTTTTATTTTTTTCTTCCTATGCATCATTATAGTACTATGCATAATATTATGGCTGTCAGTAGAATCATTTTTGGTAGCAATCGACCTTTCTTTAGAAAGCAGAATGAAACAGCGGATTTCATTTTATTGTTTTAAATAATGTTTTCCCTGAATTTTTCTGGGACCCCCTACTTTAAGCACAAAGTACAGTATGTGTCAGGTTTTATTTGTGCCATTTATGTAATGAAACCACTAACTAAAATCACTCATCCTTATTGTAATAAGTTAGGGTGGTGGTTTTATCCACCCTTTGAACCCTGACCCCATTCTGACCTGTGATGATGTCCTCGATGGCTCCGTCTTTGCCCTCTCGCACGAGCGGTGTCATCTGCCGGCGCTTCAGCTCTGCGATCAGATCCACCTGTGGCAATCGTGGAAGCGCTGGCATCTGTGGACATCAACACACCGGTAAGATGTCTTTATATCTCACCTCCTGTTCCTCAAGTGTTTCGGTCTCTGTCTATCACGCATTACCTTATGACTCACTGATGTGATGGGAGGGTCAGAGATGGATAAGCATACGCTGTCATCATTCTCAGAGAATTTCTTCCGCTGTTCGTTCTCCTGTTCGGCCAGCTATAGAGAAAGAAAGATTCATCAGTAAATCAACACTGCCTAATATTGTGCTATAACCCCTTGCTCTACAGAAGAGGAGTTTATGATGAGTCTTTATCCATTTTTATTTATCAATATTTATTAAGGAAAAATTGTGAGGAACTGCCATAATGAATAAATGAATGATCCAAAAAGTCTTATGAAGTTTAAGGTAATTAATTCAGCTGACACTTCGAATGCAAACAGCACTTGAAAAGGGTGTATCAAATACTGTTTAATGACAAATTTATGTAGTCATAACCGCTATTTTATGTAAGGGCGAGATGTCTAAGTTGCAATATTTAGCTACTGGGGTGCCTCAGGGCTCGGTGTTTGGACCACTTCTCTTCATCTACTGTCATCATTAGGATGTTATATTTTAAAAAAATTATATATAAACAATTATTGGAATATGTTTTTGGATAAAATGCTCATTCAGTCTTTTTTGATGTTTAATTAATTGTGTACTTGGCATTTCTTTGTAATTATTTGTGAAATTTACAAGCAATTTACTGAGTGAAAAGAGTTAAATCTTACGCCAAACGTTTTTGTTTTTTTCAATGTATCTTGGTGGTTTTAATCTCTCATAATAACTAGTATGATATAAGCTGATATGTAGTGGCACTCTGTAATAATTTCATCACCTTATATGCTTTAATGAACCTGGCGAAAACAGGGAAGAACACAGAAGGAGGTGTGGATTTGGGATTCTCTCCGAAATACTCCACCACTGAGTGATACATCTCCTGTAGAGAGACAAACACAGCTGATCAAGCTCTTCTGATTTCAAATTCAATGTGATTTCTATGTAGCGCAGGACTAAATTAATCTCCACCTGTGCAGTTTTGCTGTCTTTTACAATAGTGTCCAGCAGACTGCCATTATTGGACATAAAATTTATGAGGACAGCGCTGTCTTTCTGTTGCTGGAACTCCTTACGGACCACCTCCATCCCCTTCTCCAGAGACCGCACGTCTGCAAGGATGCTGTCCAGAGAGACTGAGAGAACGATACGTTAACATACAGCTCTATACAGGTAAAAAAGTACAATATCGTGCAAAAGTTCATTTATTTCAGTAATTCAACTTTTAAATGGTGAAACTAATATATTATATATACTGTAAAAAATATTTTCTTTTGTCAAATCAAATTTATTTAGTTGAGAGAACCTATTATTTTGAGTTTCTGATGGTTAAATTAATCTACTTCATTGTATTAACTCACTTTTTCCAGTTCAATCAACTTAAAATTTTAAGGCAACCCAGGTTACTTACTTTTTTAAGTTAAACCAACAATATTTTTTTTACAGTGTAGCAATCACAACATTTTTTCTTTTGTCAAATCAACTTAAATCATTTATTTAGTTCAGATAACATATACTTTTGAGTTTCTGATGGTTAAATTAATCTCCTTCATTGTATTAACTCACATTTTACAGTTCAATGAACTTAAAAGTTTAAGGCAACCAGGTTACTTACTTTTTTAAGTTAAACCATCAATATTTTTTTACAGTGTAGGCCCATTACATGCAAAGTGAGATATTTCAAGCCTTTATTTGTTATCATTTTGATGATTATAAGCCATAATCATCAAAATTATAAGAAATAAAGGCTTGAAATATCTCAACATTTAAACGTAGGTCACCAGCCCAAATGTTTAGCTTTGATCATTACTTCCAATTTGAAAATATACAGTCAAAAGTTTGGAATAAATAAGATTTTCTCATGTTTATGATATGATGATGTGTATTTCTTGAGCAGCAAATCATCATATTAGAATGATTTCTGAAGGACTGAAGGAGTAATGATGCTGAAAATTCAGCTTTGATCACAGGAATAAATTACATTTTAAAATATAATCAAATATCATTTTTTTCTTGTAACTTTAATTACCAATGTTACAGTTGAACTGTATGTTTTATTAAAAAAAAGAAAAGAATGAGTGAGCATAAGCGGCTTCTTTCGAAAAATTTGAAAAAAGAAAAAAAAATTGACTGTCTTGGTGTATTTCTTAAATTCATTTTGTCTAAAAAGTCCAAAAGTTTGACATTTTGAACATTCAGATTTTCTTTAAGCAACTAAATCCCCCAGCATCCCCTTCAAGAAGTGGTTAAAGTCATGCAAGGACAGTCCCTGCATTCACACTTAGAGCTGGACTGGAGAGTGGATGTGTGTGTGTGAACACTCACCCAGCGCAGCTTTGTCCAGAAAGTGTAGTTCAGAGTGAAAGTTGTGCAGCTGAGGGTATTTTTCTCGTATGATCATGACGATGAAATGCAGGAGTGTCTGTTTTCTATCTGTGGATTTCAAGTCCAGAAGCTGAAAGTGAAAATGTGTGTTAAATTAATAAACGTGCCAAAAAATTCAGGAAACTCCAAGGCACTCTCTTCAGAAAGATTTAAAAAGCCTTTATTGTTATGGCTTGGTCATCTTAAACCTTTAAAACACGACGCGTTTCGACATACGAGCCTTCGCCAGGGAGTCGACGTGTAATAAACGTGCCCACTTGGCATGAACTGATCAAATATATTGCTTGAATGCAAGAATGTAATGTAAATAGCCTAGTTTCAGTCAAATCCTTTATTTTCAGTGTGTACTTGTAAATAAAATGAGCTATTTATTTCAATTGAATAATCACTTATATATCCAAAAAGTACAATTGATGAGGTATTTATTTTACCCTGACACGTAATGATCTAAATGAACTGAAACTATATGAAAGCACGATATGTGAATTATCTATTGCGCAGACTGTTGGAAGTGACACAAATTTTTAATCTGCTTTATATGCCAATAATCTCAAAATGGCCAGCTATCGATGTTTTCTCACCAAATCAAGACTTTGGAGTCGAAATCCATATGCTGATCCTCTCTTCCCACTGTTCATGTAATTCCCGAATGCAAGAATGATCTAGAAAACAGAGAAAGATCAGTTTTCTTTCCACTATTTCAGATATTATTTGACAGTGTATTCTCTTTACCTCTAGAATCTTCTTCATTTTGCTGGAGGATTTGATGGACATGGAAGCAGCGATGATGGCATTTAATTGCTACAAAATAAGGTAAACAAGTAAAGAAAGCAAATAGATTTAATTTTATGTTGACAAAAAAATTGGTGTATTAATAACAATTATTTGCATGTGACATTGAATTAAATTAGATTTTTTTAAGTAGAAAGACTGAAATAGTATTTTCTTGTAAAACGTATTCCACTAATCTTTCTGCAAAAAAAAAAATCATTTTTCAGTGTATATTGCATATATACTCACAGGTTTTAATAGCAGGATGCTATCGCTAAAGTTTCCCATGAATGTTAGCGTGCTGATTCTTTGTGACAGCCGTGGGATTTTGCTGAAGGCCACCATGAATCTGTCCTCCTCTGAGAGCTCCAGCAGGGGGCGTCCTTCACGCTCGAAATTATCAATCAACTTCAACTCATAATCAGACGGGATGAAGCGCTCCAGCAGCTCTAGAAAATCTGAGTTTAGCAAATCCAGATTATACCTACACACACACACAGAGAGGAGCAGTGTTAGTCTAGTTTGTGTGACGTGAAAGATAAGAAATGGCTACCTTTCATTTTTTACGTACAATCAGCTTGGATGTTTAAGTCATTTCAGCTTAAATGACATTAAACTGACTTAAAAAATGAGTTGAATCTTTTTCTTAAAAGTTGAAAATTGAGTTAAAGTAATGTAAAAATGTATGTTGTCATTGTATGACAGTGTGTGTAAGTGATCGTGGGTGTTGAACGTACGTTTGGATGGCAGTGCAGATCTGAGCGGTGCTCATGCCTCCTTTGCGCAGTGTGATGGCGAGCTTTTTGGCCCTGTTGGGCTCCAGTAGTGAGATTTTACTAGATGCTTTATTGGCCACTTTCACCTTCAGAGTGCCTACGTTCACAGTAGCGGACTGAGCTTTAGTTTTAAACAACTCCTCAAAGACGTCCATATTCAACTCCTTCAGAGACAGGAAGAGGACAAAGACATGGAGGTGAGTGACATCGTCTTTAGTCAGTCACTTAAAATCAATTCTGATGATGATAAATGTTTAGATAATTCGGCTTGTAAGTCGATAAATATAAAACGGCGTATGAGTACTCCTATGCATTTTTTATTGAAATAAATAGTAAGAATTATGTTTCACTTAAAAAACTATTTAATAATTATAATAATTAAATTAAAAAATATATTTCAAGAAAAAACGACATTTTTAAACATTAAAACTAAATCGTTTCATTTTTAAATATATTTCATAATAAAATATATTTTAAAAAAGGCAGCAAGCAGCAAATGTTTTAGCATTTCTATTTCCAGGTGGCCCTTTCATGCATTTCTATAAGCCCAGTTAGAAACACAGACACTTATTTTATATTAAAATTAAATTGATAAAGATTAAAACAATTATATATATATATATATATATACACCGTATATATATCTTACTAATTAAAACATATTTCAAGAAGTAAAAACATTTCAGGAATGACTACCCCAAAAATACATTTTTTAATTACAACAAAAATGATTTAAAAAAAATAAAATAATTTTTTTATATATTACATAAAATTATTTTAAAAAGTATTACTAACATGTAAAAAAATATATTTTATTTTCAAATATTTTATAAATAATTAATACATATAATAAATATATATACTGTACTTTAAGAAGAAAAAAAGCAACAGTTTGCCATTTCATGCGTTTCTGTGAGCCGAGTTATCAACACACTGAACTGACCCCAAGCACACTTTCATCATCCAGCTCTGTGAAGACCGTGCCAGCCACCTGTTCCTCCTGTAGAGCCTGCCAGTTCAGCAGGGGCATTCGATACTTTGTCTTGATTGGCTTCTTACCTTTTACACCTTACACACACACACACACACACACAGAGGGGAAGAAATACACTTTCAGTGTTTTGTACAGCTCCACTTTTCATTGAAAATCATTTAAAATCATAATTTTTTGTACTATGACTGTCATCATTTCTCTTACCTGTCTTTAGGGTTCCTGCCCTTCCATGTGACAGCGAAGGGGGCGGAGCTTCACTCATAAGGGGCGGGGGAGGAGGTGGGGGAGGGGCGGGGACAGGAGGAGGGGGCGGAGATTGCATCACAGGAGAGGCCTTCATTTCTGTTGTACTCTTATCTTGGGATTAAAAGAGAAATGTTTGATTTATTATTTACAGACACCACAATTCGCATCACTATATGGAAAGAAACGTAAATGGATGGAGAAACATAGGTTACTGTAAAGCTACGTCTTAGTTTGTGCTTATCTTGGCGAAAGCCGAGTACAAATCAGCATGAAGTTTTAACATCTACTCTCGTGTAATGGAAATCGAAATATGTAACAGTGCTTTGCTTTTATCATTTATTATTTGCATTGAACATTATATTATGTTCTATTATTATTTATGAATTTAGTTCACTGATTAGGCTAGAGTTATAATATATATATATATATATATATATATACATTTTGTATAATTTTCAGGGTTTAATCTGTTATAAAAATTAAGTTATAATACATTAATAAATCAGATAACACTATAATTAAAATCTAAGTAGTATAGATGTATAATACAATTATAATATAATAGATACTATTATGTATAATATGTATAATACTATTATAATAGAATAGAATGTAATTAGAATAAGTGATTATATAATTACAGCACTGGTTGTGTGTATATTTGATCTTCACCTGTTGTGTTAGCGACTGGTATAATGTGTAAATCCAGAGAGCCGGATTGGGATTTCTCCATGCGGATCAGACCTCGATCCACTAGAACCTGAAGCTTCTCCTCCAACTGACGTTGCTGTCTGTCTCTCTCTCTCTCCTTCTCCTTCTCACTCTGTGTCTCTCTCTCTTTCTCCTTCTGCTGCAGCTGAGAGACCTGAGCGTGCGCCTCCTTCAGACTGCCCTGGAAACACACACCAATGCTACACAGGCTGGAAACACCAGTAAAAGTGAGTATTAGTATACTGTAGAGTGTTACCTTCAGAAGCTCCACCTCTTTCATACCCTCTATGAGCTGCTTCTCGAGTTCAGACGTCTTCTCCACAGCTTCACTCTCACACTGCTGCAGTCTAGCATTTAGCTGATATACACAATTTATGATAAATAACTACACTTATATATATTTATCCATTGTACTTTCTCTCTCGATAATGCATTTATCTACTTTATCTCTGTGTTTGATTCAAAGCGGGCAGAATGATATATATAACGAGCCGGCAATGTTACCATTCCAGTCAAATATTGCGCTGCAAACATCAATAATAGTTTACTTTGAAATTAATTTTTAATATGTTTTAGCTTACCTCAAGGGCATCCAAGATGTAGGTGTCTTTGTTTCTGCAGTAGTTCCAATTTTGATATTTTTAGGTCAAACCGTTCTTGTCTATTAGTCTTATAATGGAGGTCTATGGTCACCACCTCAAAGAGCATGCACAGAGAAGTGCAGATTAAACATGATTTAATGACTCGTAAATGTAAGTACACATTGATGGCCTAAGACACGAAACGAGCGGTTTGTGTGAGAAAACAAACAGTATTTATACCGTTTTACCACTTGTAATCAGTCACGTCCAAGTGATCTGAAGGCGCGGGCGCTTTGTGGCTGTGGTAACAAGAGGTTAAAACGATATAAATACTGTACGTTTTCTCACACAAACCGCTCGTTTCGTGTCTTAGGTCATCAATGTGTACTTACATTTACGAGTCATTAAATCATGTTTAATTTGGACTTCTCTGTGCATGCTCTTTGAGGTGGTGACCATAGACCTCCATTATAAGACTGACAGACAAGAACGGTTTGATACTGTGGAAAAAAAGACACCTACATCTTGGATGCCCTTGAGGTAAGCTAAAACATATAAAAAATTAAATTCAAAGTGAACTATCCCTTTAAGTTGACAATGATGGCTAATGATCAGGGTATAAGTGGGATAATCCACGACTAGCTGTGCATTAAACAATTTTAATGCAGTCATTAAATAAAAGCTAGCTGTGGATTATCCCTTTTTTATTTATTTTTTTTCATTTTTTTTAGTTGTTATTGATTCAAAAAGCAGAAATATGTGCATTTGACTATCAAACAGATTTATGTCAAGTAATTGTGTGTGTGTACCTGTGTGTTTTGTTCTTGTTGCTCCTCTAGATGTTCCATTATTGTATTTTTGGCCTCGGCATCTTCTAGCATCGCTCCAACATCAAACACATTATCCAGGTACGCTTGAATCTGCATCTGCAGCCTCTCACTCTCAGTGACCTTTAACCTCTTCACACACACACATTATATGATTATGTAACACTAAAAATGTCTTTAGTGTCACTTTTGACCAATTTAATGCATCCGTGTTGAATAAAACACTAAAGAAACACAGGCACCCCAAGCTTTTAAACAGTGGTGTAGGTTACTTGCTCACCTCTAGATAGCTGTCTATTCCCAGTTGTGTAAACTCATACTGTAAGTACACTCGGAAGTTCATGTCCTCCACTGAATGCACTATAATGTTGATAAACTGCATACAAGCCACCTAAAGGTAAAAAAGGAAAACATTTATTGATCAGTTTCCACACACTGATGATCCTACATTAGGAAAAACCTTAATCTATGTCTAGAAACCTAATGCATTATGTATGTGATCCACTCTGAGATCAGTCATTGGTTAACATAAACTAACAGTGAACAATATTTAGCATTTATTACTTTTACTTAATGTTCATCTAAACATTTACCGACACTTTTGTAAGGTCAAAAGTTGTATCCGTAAGTGCTGTAAAATATGCTTATTGTTAGTTTATGTGTATTCATGCATTAACTAATCCTAACAAATGAGACCTTATTGTAAAGTGTTACCAAGTGGACTAAAATACAAACTTAATGCTAGTCCTAAATTGGAAAAGTTATATCAAGATTCACTGATAAATTTAGTCAATGATCAAATATACATTATATATAAATATGGTATATAGAGATGTTGAACTAAATACCTTAGTTAAAGTAAGAATATTATTAAATAGGAAAATTAATAGAGACAAAATCAAACAATTAAGATTTCTGTGTCCTCACCATGAAATCAATGTTGCTGTCTTCATTTCTGAAGTATTCCATTAGTTTTTCGAATCTGTTCTTCTCTCCAGACACCTTCACACACACACACACACACACACACACACTTGTCTCAGAGGGGATTGTTAGCTGTACGTGAGTTTACTGTATTTTGCTTTTGACTCAATTTTCTGCTGATATTTTATGTGATAATTTTAAGTGATAATGCCAGTAAATAAAAGCAAAAGGGTTCAAAAGAACCGACTGTGACATTTTTAGAAAATGTGTGTATGGTATAATATCTTGGTTACACACTTTTCATAAGGATAGTTTATCATCTGACAGTGTATTATTGCTTTAAAGCAGTGGTTGATTATGATTTCACTTTTCTAACTATAGTTAGTGTGTAATGTTGCTGTTTGAGCATAAACCACATCTGCAAAGTTACGAAACTCAAAAGTTCAAAGCAAAGGGAGATATTTGCTTTTAAAGAAATCGTTTTTTAAAGAACTACAACACACGGCTGGTAGGGACTACACGAGCTTCCTCCTGGGTTAGTGACATCACCAACCCTAAAATTGACATAAACCCCGCCCCGCACACAGTCCATGTTGAAAACTCAGTGTGCATCTCACAACAGTTCCTATACAAGCGATTTATAGATTATCCTGACAGAATATGCTAATTGAAGATAACTCCACATCAGCAACATAAATTCATCAACTGACCATTCAGAGACGTCCTGTTGCATTCTACATGTCGTCACTTCCGCTTAGTCTCTCCATCTTTGTCTGACTCCGGTTTAAACATAAAAGGCAGAACAGTTTCTGACATTTTAGCGTGTGTCTGCGTGAGGTAATGAGCTGCTAACGCGCACACTCTTGAAGCTCCGCCCACTGTGTCGGGAGCTGCAGTTCATTTGCATTTAAAGGGCCAGGCACAAAACGGTGCGTTTTTGCTAACCCTCATAAAGTGACAATTTTAACATGCTATATAAAAATATCTATTTTTGATTTATTTTGAGCTAAAACTTCACATACACACTTTGGGGACATCACAGATTTATTTTACATCTTGTGAAAAGGGCATTATACCACCCCTTAAATGTTCCATCCAACATCTTATTACTTAGCTCTCACTACAGAAAGACTGTGTTACACTTTTATGCAAATTTCACAGACATAAAGAAGAAATATGGGTGGGAAACCTCCAAGCAAGTATAACCAATAGTTGTTCGGGTTTTCCCAGGAAACAAATTTAGGTTCTGGGAACGTTCTGGGAACGTTAGTTAAGGTCAAGGGAAAGTTCCCGTAACATTCTCCTTACGTTATAAAAATGGAACCTATATATAACCTACATGGAACGTTCCTATAACATTCTTGTTTGATTCCCAAAAAAATAACCTCATGGGACCATTCGGGAACGTTAGGGGAATGTTCTGATTTTGCTCTCAGAGATAGGCATCTGAATCATCACCCACACAAATGTCTTTGAGACAAAACCGACGTCCGTGTGAGTGTGTGAGGTTGCAAGATATCTCCTATACACACGAGCGTCGCGCTCAGACAGGGTGTAACAGCTGATATCATCATAGCTGAAGGTTCAGCAGTTCAACAGCCGATCAGACACTTGAATTTAATCTCATCAGGTGTCTGTGTGAATAACTTAAGATCAGGTTTTTGATCTCTGAAATAACGACATTGATTGATGAAAAGTGAATATTATTAGTCACATATTGTATTAGAATATATGAAATTATTCACATGTGGGCCTAAAACTATTTGGACACTTAATGAATATCCTTTTTTTTATTTGATTATATTGTTTTATATGTTATTAATTCAAACTTTTTTTCTTTTACTATTTTTATAATACATATTTAATATAATAATAATTTTTCTTTTTGTTCTTTTTATATTTTTATTTGACTATATTATGTTTTGGTATGTGTGATTTATATTTTATTATAACCAACTTTTTAGTATTTTTATAATATGTATTACATATTTAATAACATAATACAATGGTATAATACATAATCATTTTTTTCTTTTTATTATTATTTGTAATTATATTTTATTTTATATTATTTTATATTTTATGTTTGATTATATTTTATTAAACTTTTTATAGACATTTTATAATGTCTATTATATGAAATTATATTTTTGATTATATTATGTTTTGGTATGTTTGTTTGAATTATTATTATTTATGATGAGTGATGAATTGTGCACAATAAGATGAACAGAAAAAGAAAGGTTTTCTTTTCTTACCTCTTTGAAATTATTAAAGGCTGCAATAATGATTTCATGACCTCCTCGAACCAGACACACAGCAGCAAGGAGCTCCAGAACCAGTGCTTTAGTCCTAAACACACACACACACACACACATGTAAGGACAGAAGTGTAGAAACAAAAACATTCAAAACCAAAACACACTGTCCTCTCACCTGGCACTCTTGTTGTTGAGACTAAGAGTGATTTCATTGACACAGCTGGGATGAGCCATCACCTGATTAAACCCTAACTAACACACACACACACAGACGCATTAGTCAAGTGAAGAGATGAGACGAGGCGAGGCGAGAGTGAGAAGTACCTGGTAGTTCATGATGGTGCGAAGGCACATGATGCAGAGATGCAGGTGGTTCTTCTGGCCGAGCAGACGCGAGTATCTCAGAGCTTTCCTGAGGAGAAGATAGATCGTTTTAAAAGCAGTTTTATACAGAAACACACTGATTCAAAGCAGAACTTTATTACTGTGTAATCTCAAAATCATTAAAAGTAAAACCAGATGCACACAAACACACTCTTTCTGAATCAGGAATGCAGCTGATCCTGATAGAAGCGATTGGACGGGTGTGTGTTTGTGTCACGCTATGATCTCAAAAGGACGCTGAAGTGATCGTGTTTGGCATGTATGCATGATGGTTTGTGTGATTTGGTTTTTGGACTGACCTCGCGGCGAACGACCGTCCTGAGCGTGGGGAATTGTGGGTGGGGGAGTTTGTCGCGCTCGTGGTCAGATCTTCCGTAGACTTCTCCTCAAAGCTTCCATTATCGGAGCTTTCCATGTCATATCTGTAAAAGCACAGTCTGTCTTATGAATGCATGTTCGTTTTTATGTTCACCTCTGTATATTAGTTTATTAGTTGTGTCTTTTTGTTAATACAGTTGATCTAATGAACTGAAAAGTTGGCTTGCGATTTACACTACCTTTGGGGTCAATAATATATCTTTTTAATAAATAAATAAATACTTTTTTTCAGCAAGGATGCATTAAATTTATCAAAAGACTGTAAATACTTAATAATAAATGCTGTTCTTTTGAACTTTCTATTCATCTAAGAATCCTGAAAAAAAACCCATGGTTTCCATAAAAATATAAAGCAGCACAACTGTTGTCAACATTAATATTAAGAAATGTTTCTTGAGCATCAAATGATCATATTAGAGTGATTTCTGAAGGATCGGGTGACACTGAAGACTGGAGTAATGATGCTGAAAATTCAGCTTTGATCACAGAATACAATTATTCAATAAATTACAATAAATTTGACAAATTTTGATGTGATAAATGCAGCCTTGGTGAGCAGAAGAGACCTATTTCAAATACATTTTTAAAATAATGCCATTTTACAGATGCCAAACATTTGAACGGTACACTCTCAGGAAAAAAAGGTACAAAAGCTGTCACTGGGGCTGTACCTTTTCAAAAGTTAAACTTTTGTCCATTTTAGGTGCTAATATGTACATTTCAGGTGCTAATATGTACATTTTAGGTGTTAATATGTACATTTTAGGTGCTAATAAGTACATTTTAGGTGTTAATATGTACATTTTAGGTGCTAATATGTGCATTTTAGGTGCTAATATGTACATTTTTAGTGTTAATATGTACATTTCAGGAGCTAATATGTCCATTTTAGGTGCTCATATGTACATTTTTTTGTTTTAATATGTACATTTCAGGAGCTAATATGTCTATTTTAGGTGCTAATATGTACATTTTAGGTACTAATATGTAAATTTTAGGTGTTAATATGTACATTTTAGGTGCTAATATGTACCACTAAGGTACCAATATGCAGCTTTTGGGTACAAAAGTGTACCTTTTGAAAAGGTACAGCCCCAATTACAGCTTTTGTACCTTTTTTCTGAGAGTGTACTTGGTGCATACAGTCTTTTGATTGCCTTACAGTGTTTTTGTTTAGTTGTTGATTTGTTTGGTACCTCAGACTAGTCTAGTGAATATAACACCAGTGTTAGCTGGCATCAGAGTTTGGTTTGAGACACTGGATGGTCAGAGAGCACATTATTTTCCCAGACGCCTCGTCACATTAAGAATTTAGTTTCCTCTTTTGTGTCTTTGTGTGACTGTGTGTGTGTGTGTACTGTACATACGTGACTGCACGTTGAGCGAAAGAGAGGTAGTCCACTAGCACTTCTAAACCCTTGTTTTCTTCATTTAGAAACTCCTCAGCCCACCTGAACAGACACAGAGAACATCACAAAAGACAACCCAGTGTTGACACAGACATTCCCAAAGCTCCAGATCATGTCATGTCTCATTTAATAATCTTTCAGTAGTTAAAAAGTCCCATGCCAGAAACATGCATGTTTTGCGGCAGTCATGTGATGGCTCTTACCCGATGTGATTGGTGCGCAACGAGATCTCCAACTCTCTCAGAACTTGTGTGGATTCTTGGACTCGCCGTTTAAACTAAAAATCAAATTTTATGCATTAAAATCACATTTACAAACTTATTTCAGTTTGATTATAATTGGATGAGTTCTACATCACACTCTCAGATTCAAACACACACACACTAGTACCTTTCTGCCTCCTCCCTGCTCTAATACACTCTTGAGTTTCTGAATGTACACTGATGGAGGATTCTTCACCTCAAATCGCTCCTGAAGACAGAAACCAGAAGGAATGGTAAACTCCCCTAAATCCACATTTAATTTTAGTCATGTTTCTTGCATAAATAAAATAATCTTTCATTACCTTTTTTCACCCTTTGAATTAAGTGGGCTGTTATTTTGATGTGTAATATGATCGCTAACCTTTGTTTGGACATATCTTAAAAGGGTCATGTTTGTGACATCAAAACCATCATATCTTCTGAACCAATTTTTGAATTTAGTTTCTATAAATGCTCTGGGTGAACTGGAGAGGAAGTTTTTACTTTAAAAGAGCAAGGATAATTGTGTTTTATACCCCCTTTAAAGGTGTGCTATGTGCTTTAGGGTTGTAACATTATGGTAAATTAGTACTGTATGTGTGTTTTTGCTCTGAACTCACCTGGTCACAGACTAACTCCCATTTCTTCTCATTGTCGTACTGACAGAGCAGCTTCACTTTATCAGGGGGGAGATTCATTGAATTCTACAATCACAGAGCAAGAGACAACATAAAACCTTTGAGTAAGTCTCATTTTTTTACATTAATTCAACAGAACTGTTAGATCTGTTCCACTGAGGTACACTCTTAAAAAGGCTTTCTTATTGTTTATTGCGGCACCCTTCGATTAAGCAAAGGACTTTATTGAAAACTATTTTTCATTGCATAATGTTTTTCAGAGAAAATGTTTTGATGTTTTATTATACACTTGTGTTTTATTATACACTGCCATTTAAAAAATGTTATGATTTTGAAAGAAGCCTCTTCTGCTCACCAAGGCTTTATTTATTTGATCATAAATAGAGTAAAAGAGTAATATTGTGAATATTATTGCAATTAAACTGTTTTCTATTGTAATATATTGTAGAATGTAATTTATTCCTGTGATCAAAGCTGAATTTTCAGCATTATTACTCTTCAGTGTCACATGATCCTTCAGAAATCACTCTAATATTTGCTGTTCAGGAATATGTATTATACTTATAAATGTTTAAAACAGTTTTGCTTTTTTTGTGTGTGTGGAAACTGATAATTTTTTTTTTCAGGATACTTTGATGAATGGAAAGTTGAAAATAATAGCATTTATTTGAAATATAAATCTTTTGTAATATTATAAATGCCTTTACTGTCCGCTTTGATCAATTTAATGTATCCTTGTTGAATGAAATGCTAAATGAAAGTATTCATTTCTTTAAGAAAAAAAGCGGGGGGAACCCATTAAATTGCATGGAAGGAGGAATCTGAGGAAGAAACTATCACCGAATCACCTTGACATCCGCATAGCAACACCCTGACAATTACCCACAACACCCCATTGTCACATTTTCTTGCAGTCAAAGACCATATCTAGCTATAATATGTTCTAGATAACTGCAGTGTGTAAATGTTGAGCTACTGTGAGTCCAATAGCACTCAACAGTCGTTGACACATGGACACGGACACTAATAAACTGATGCGTCTTGTGAGACGGTTTACGAGCAGCAGACAGATCACATGGATAATAAGTATATGCTGACTCGAAGAATGCCCTTTTTGAACCGGTAGATTAGTGCTGTGTGAATGTCCTGTTTCTATGACGATCTCCTAAATTATTTATGAACAGCATGAGTGTTTACACGCACACACCGACAGACAGACACACACATTGTTATGGTCCCCGCAGAATTACCTCAATGACTCATCTGAGCATGATACCGAACACACACACGCTTGCAGACTGCGTGTAAATCTCCTAAAACATTATGCAAATCGTCTTAAAGGTCGCAGAGTGAAAGCTAATGGTCTGTGCACTTGCACGGATCTATACTATACGGCCCCACCATAGACAGCAAAAGAAGTGAACACAGCGAGTCAGCGACCCCATAGATTTCAACGGAGAGAAGTGAAGCCAATTAGAGTGTGTGTTTCCGAAATCTCCCACTACTCACTATATAGTGGACTATATAGTGAGCTCGCCATTGCTGTCTGAATGTATAGTGATGATATAGTCCACTCAATGTATCCCAGAATGCATTTTGAAAAGTAGTGTACAACCGATGGTCACCATAGATATCTATATAAAGGCTAGATGTCTCACGGCGGAGTATTTATCGTTATCACCGGCGGCCATCTTGTCACAGACAGGCTTTCTGGCGGGCTCTGTGGTATCTGATGTAAGAAATACTCTTATCTCTTTGAAATCTCGACGGATTTACAAACGGTTTGGTTTCTTACAAACGTTATTAACGTGGCTATAATTCTGGATGATTATTTGAAGAGTTCAGATGCAAAAGCCTCTAAATGCCATTTGAAATTTTCTTCTAAAATGACCATTTTTTATCAAGCTTGTATATTTAAGTTCAGTAATTTCACTTAAATGACAATTAATAGGTAATCTTCATTGCCATTTAAGTGAAATTACTGAACTTAAATATACAAGCTTGATAAAAAATTTCAAATGGCACTTAGAGGCTTTTGCATCTGAACTCTTCATTTATTTATACACTTATTATTCATAAGTATGCAGTATCATAACTACATCTCTGCCGTTTATAACAAACCAGACCGTTTGAAAATCGGTAGAAAATTGACCAAGTTACGGTGATTTAAAAAGTACATGCACCATCAAAACAATGTTACCAGTGAGCGAGCTGCCTGTGACAAGATGGCCGCCAGGTGCCGACTTCGACCTCCATTGGCCAGCAGCGTGGACGAGATTTCTAGCCTTTATATAGATATCTATGATGGTCACTACCACAAGCTCTACATACCATCATGCATTGCACTGATCCTAAAAAAAAAACGGATGGACGACAGCAATGACGAAATCAACAGCGCCGAGAGACGATCGACTAGTGTCCGAAAGTGGTGTTTCTATTATGCTGGTGAGCTCGCTATATAGTGCTCTACTCCCTACCCCCTACATAGGAGGTAGGGAGTAGTGGTTTGAGTGGAGATTTCGGACACAGCCACCGTCTTTTGCCGGGCGTCGCCGTCGCGCATGCGTGACACGGCATAGTAAAAAGCGCGGTGCACAATTTAAAAGAAGTTCAACTTTTAAAAAACGCATTTCTACCTTGCGCTTTTTTTCCCCCGTTCCTCTGACCTGCGTCTCACTTTTTAAACGGCAACACTTTTAAAACACATTCTATACTTAGTGGTGTTTTTCCATGCAAAACCCACCACAGCTATGCTAGGGCGTTGCCAGGGCGTTACTATGCAGTTGCTAAGGAGTACTCTAACCGGTGGTTTTCTGGTCTTTCCATATGGTTTGATAAAAAATACATTTAGAATAACTTTAAATAGTTTTTTTTTTAAGTTTTAAATTGTAATTTATTCCTGTGATCAAAGCTGAAATTTCAGCATCATTAGGCTACTACATAAATCATTCTAACATGATGATTTGCTGCTCAAGAAACATTTCAGATTATCATCAATCTTTAAAACAGTTGTACTGCTTAATATTTTTGTGGCAAATGTGATATTGTATTCTTTTATTTTATTTTTTTCATTCTTTGACGAATACGTTTAAAAGAGTTTAATGCATCCTTGCTGAATAAAAGTATTATTTTCTGGAGAGGTGATAGATAGATAGATGGTTCTGGGATGGGTTTCATGCCTTTTATACATATGAATTGTTTGTTCAAATCTCTAATTATGAACACAAATAATGCTTGCTTTAGCAAACACCGTTAATGAAATCATTATTTACTTTCTCTCTCAGTCTTACTTCTCATTTGGACGTTCCCTGGAGGGTTCAGGTGTTGCTATTCACTTGGGGGCATTTTGGGAAATGACTCAATAAGAATATCAAAACACTCTGTATTTCCACACCCCCTTCCGCCAGTTTGTGGAGTTGTCTCTTTTGCATACAGCAGGTGAGATTGCATTTCTTGCTTTAGGAACAGACTGTTTGCTTTAAAGGTGATAGGAATTCATTTGTTTTGTGCCCAGTTCCTTGGCTGTATCTTTCAGCTGATAGCTCAGGAATGTTATCATTTGTTTTGGGAACATTGTAAAAGATCTCAATGAACTAATTTGGCCTTTTTTGTGACCCGCTTATGATCCCAAGACTGACCGAAGACTAAAGAACTGTACAGTAGATGTCAAAGCAAAAATGCTAAACAGTCTAAACATCTATGTATCCGCGTCAGACCTGGGAAATCAAGTTTACTGTGAAAAGTGAAAGGAAAACTTTTGCACTTCTTACTGTAATATTGGATGTCATGTCTTGCTTAAAAATTGTCAGAAGTCGATGAAACAACATGATGTAAGATCATTGGATGAACACTGTTATAAAAGATTTCTATATTTCAAATAAATGCTGTTTTTCTTTTACCTTTTATTCATCAAAGAATCCGGAAAAATATGTTACAGTTTCCACAAAAATATTAGGCAGCGCAACTGTTTTCCTCATTGATAATAATCAGGAATATTTCTTGAGCAGCAAATCATCATATTAGAGTGATTTCTGAAAGATCATGTGACCCTGAAGACTGTAATGATGCTGAAAATTCAACTTTGATCACAGGAATAAATTACATTTTAAAATATATTCAAATAGAAAACGGTTCTCTTAAATTGTAAAAAATATTTCACAATATTATACTGTTATATTACTGTATTTTTACCCGTGAGACTTCTTCTTACCCATCCTAATCTTTTGAATGGTATGACGTAAAAGTTACATCCACAACATCATGTTTTACTTTTGCTTTGTCATTTAATTTCATTTATTTATTTATTTTATTTTTTTGCAGCATATTGAATTCCTGTTCTTTGCGATGCGTGGCACATTAGTATGGCACTGTGTCCTAATTTATAAAACAGGTCAAGGGGAGGAACACCAATCTGCAGAAATAATGCTTTAGGGCAAACACACACACATACACACAGTCTCACTCTCAAAAAATCTTCCTCTATGGAAAGCCTGCAGTGCAGACAGCACCATTGATTTATAATTGCCAATCTTATAATAGTGGCATTGGGTCTGCTGTTTAGACACAGTGATTTCTTAATTCAGACCGCATAGTTTCCTTTTTGTCTCTCTCTTTATAATTATAGTTCCCCTTTTCTGCCTATAAAATGAGGAAAGGAGGCTGGAAAAATATAGAATAAAAGACCAAACACATCCAACTTTTCCACCATCGTCTTTTTGCTTATATTTCTCTCCCTTCTGAGTGGAACGTCTGCCCTTTCTTTGTCTTTTTTTACATCTTCCATCTTTTTTAGTCCTCCTCTAAAAATAAAAACAGTTTTCAGGACAAGGTCGGCTAACGTTTTCTAACTTCATCACATGTTGTGACACCATTTATTTTGAATCCTTTACGATGGGTTCTATTTGAATATACAAGATTATATATTCTAGGATTATAAATTAATCTTAGGATATTTGAGTCCTTTATAAAGTACACACATGTATGTTCACATATAATTGTTGCATCAAAGATCAATGCAGTGAAGCAGCGTATACTGCAATACACATAATGTCATCGTTCAGAGCCGTCATTTGCAGAATTACACTAGAAGATGATACTGAATATTAAATACAATTAATATTTCCATATATTGGAGTATTTTGTATATTTATAAGCCAAATCTGGTACTTTTTATAATATCACCTCAAGGATTTTGTAATAGTTTGATAATAGTAATAATTTCACATTTCTCAAGAGCTCAGCTTGATGTTTTTGTGTACTGTTATTATTTATAAAGGTACACTGTGTAACGTTTTTGTTTAAAATGAGCAAAATTGAAATAAAGAGCCAAAAACATGCCCTGATTCTCTATGGTAAGCTCTGAAATATGTAACGCCTCGGCTACTTAACGTGTCTGTATTTGAGGTTAGTTGTTACAACGAGCGAGAAGGGTTGACACAGAGCCACTTAATCTCAAACTTTCGAAGAATTGCCTGTTTTAAACAAATGCCGAACAGTCCCGCTGGCAAAAAGTAACACAGTCTCATCCCAAAAAGTCATATAACTGACGTTTTGGGACGTATTTTGACCATACGTCAATATCAGCCTTTTTAGGGCCCCCTTAAACGTCGGTAGATGGCGATCCCGGGCCGTCATACAACTGACGCTTTACCTTTAACGTCAGTTAGGTGACGGGTTAGGTTTAGGTATGGGGTAGAGTTAGGATCCCATAACCTCATCTACCGACGTTTAAGGGGGCCCTAAAAAGGCGAATATTGACGTATGGTCAAAAGACGTCCCAAAACGTCAGTTATATGACGTCTTGGGGTGAGACCGGGTTGCAAAAAGAGAGCGTGACAGAGCTCGTAATAAAACAAGAATCAACATTGCTTTGGCTTTTCGGAGATAGTGAGAACTGAGGGATTTGAAATGTTGTAAAAGCAACAGAGATGGCGTTTTTATGACTCAACAGGTCAAAGATTGAACCGATAAATTGCCATATAGCTCTGTTGTAAAACATCTATTGTTAAGGGTCATATTCATCCGCACAAATGTTCTTTCCCAAAATGTGATTTAACCGCCAGAGGGCCAAATGTTACATCAGTAATATATTTTATTCAGTAATACAATCAGTTTCTGCAGTAATAAGCATATTGAAATCCATCCAGTACTGACTTTGATTCATTGCCATATATTTTCTAGATCAGCTGAGGGGTGGACTACTGCTGAAGATGGATGGTCCTTTCAGTAAGTAGCCTCATGCAAAATATCAATAAGTGAACGGGCCATTTGTATAATTACAGGACTGGTTTTGCAGACGTCTTGCGCTCCTCTCCTCGGCAGGGCGATGTAGAAAGCATCAGCTTGTGTGTTTAAAAAGCCTCACAAAAAAAATAATGCAGAATTCTCTGTACATTTGCATGAGTTTGCATGTGTACATGGACACTTTTATGTGAGACTTGTTGTGTATTTTATGCAAGACTTTGTTTCATAATTTAATACTTATTACTTTGATTCTTACAGGTTATTGTACTGATGCTTTGTATTGTAATATTTACATTTAGTACCCGACTGTGTGTGTTTTTGACTGATTCCCATTTTAACTCAGTTTGTTTTATCATTAACATGCTGCCGGTGCTACTTGGATTATTTGCATCGTATTTCCATATACAAACATGTCCCAAACTCTCTTTCTCAGTTGGCATTATAGATGACAAAGTTGTTTAGGTTTGATGGAGAGCCTGCATGTGCACTTTAAAACTTGTTCGTAGATTAGATGGCCTTTCACTGCTGCATGATGGGAGATTGTGGAGTGTTTATCTGATTTAGGAGACGCATCAAGGATATTGGCAGAGTAGATTAATTAACATGGAATAAGGGTGCGTTCACGTGCTATGGAAAGATATTTACCAGTGTGTTGCGTGTTCAAGTGCTTTTATTGTCGTAATGTGGTAAAGAGATGGAGATCCAGACTAAAATTATTAAGTCATTTGCTACAGCAAGAAAAAAATATTCATCAAAACTTAAACGGTAAATAATCTAGATCATGAATAGTACATATTTTTACCATTCACGGTGCTCTCTGCCATTTTGAAAAGGTCAAAGGTTATCTCATCTCGGCAACTCGTGCATTAAAATATTCTACGAGCTGCCCAGTGGAAAACACCACATGAGGGGGTGTTCATGTGCCTTTTCCACATCAGCTTTAGGTATTTACATAATTACCATATTACGTGAATGCACCATAAATGACAGCTGACATTACTAACACACACCAGAGCCTGACCGATTTACAGTATATAGGTAAAGGTGGGCTAAATATCCCTTTTAAACACAGGTATACATGTGAGTGGTTGGATTTGGTCTGTTCAGATGTCCAATATTCATTGACTATATTATAGATGATCATTCCAGGTCCAACTCTAACCTCATCATATTACCATTCTGTTCTCAAATTATATTATATCTATGAACTATTTTTTTTGCTCTTCCATTGGACAAGAAGATATTTAAAATAGCTTTTTTTTCATATAGTGAAGGACAAACTGTCAAAGAAGATTTTAGGTTAATAGTGACTTAATTTTCAGTCTGTTCATGTTCACAAATCTATTCAAATGTAGTGCTGATAGACTACTTTTATAATACTTTAATGGTGCATTTTGCTCTTTTGGGGATTTTTACAGATTTTTAATGTATGAAAAGAAAGTCTCAAGATTGGAACGTAAGGAAGGTAGCGAGTAAGTAGCAGATCAAAGTTTAAAAAAAAAGATATTTCAAGATATTTAAAACATTTTACACTCATAAATAAGTATAAATCCTACATCATGCATACATATAGATAAAGCACTTGAAATGTTGAACACCTAAAGACTCATTAGAGTTTCCCACCTGCACAATTATAGTCTCACGTCTGCATAACACTCATACTCTGAGAGATCTTACAGATTTCACAAATGAATGCAATCACTTCAGTTCATATCCGCATAACATTCCAACACAGTCGGTGGTATGTCATTTGAACTGTTTAAATCATTCATAACCGCACAGAGAGAGTTTCACCATGCATGTCAGACATATTTATGGTAATGCCCTTCGACATGCCGTTTTTCAGCAAATCATTTAACAAAAATGATGAAAATGAGCTGAGCTGAAACTCACTGTTAGTGTGTGTTTAGCCTTCTGCTTATGGGATGTTTTGTTCTGTACGTACCAACACAGTGCTGAACCTCTCCTCTAATTCGTCCTCAGGCGGCGGGGGCAGTTTGGGGGCCGGTGGCTGTTTCTGGCCGTAGGTGCTGAGGGGCCGTTTGATGTCCCGCGCCGGGGTCATCTCCAGACTTCCAGCTGCGTTTCCCATGGCTGAATGTAGAGGTACACATATACAGTCCAGAGAATCTGAGTCTCGCTCAGTGAACTTCTAGGACTACAACTTTATGTTTCTAAACCCTTCTTGTTGAGTCCCTGTGTAGAAGTTGTTTAGGTCCGATGGTTGGATAAAATCCAGCAATCCTAGAACGTGGTTCTGTGGAGGGTACCATGTAAAAGCTTGCGGTTTTTACATAGTTGATGACTTATTCAGGAATTTTGTAGTCTTCTGATGGTGTTGTCCATTTGCAGAATGTGAATCCTAAAGAAAATGACACTTAGTAGGCAAGACTATGTTCTGTCTGGATGTGTTTGGTCTCTGACCTGCTTCTGCGTGTGCTTCTGGTCTCTGTGACATCTCTCTGCTCCATCCTGGACTGAGTGATCGAGGAGAGGAGGCAGGAACAGGGATGATCCTGGGTCCTAGTGCCGGATCTGTAGACTCACACCTGACTGTGTGTGTGTCTCATATGAACACCTGATACTTACTCAGATGTCCATCTACAACCGGTGTCTCGTGTTTCCTGTTGGTGTTTGCTGCTAGGAGACTAAAGACAACCAAAACCACACCTGACACACAGACTGATTACTCCTGCTCTTCTTTATATAAATATGCACTGTAAAAAATATTGTTGGTTTATCTTAAAAAAGTAAGTAACCTGGTTGCCTTAAAATTTTAAGTTCATTGAACTGGAAAAAGTGAGTTAATACAATGAAGGAGAATGATTTAATCATCAGAAACTCAAAATGATATGTTATCTGAACTAAATCAATTATTTAAGTTGATTTGACAAAAGAAAAAATGTTGTGATTACTACACTGTAAAAAAATATTGTTGGTTTAACTTAAAAAAGTAAGTTGCCTTAAAATTTTAAGTTGATTGAACTGGAAAAAGTTCATACAATGAAGGAGATTAATTTAATCACCAGAAACTCAAAATAATAAGTTATCTCAACTAAATAAATTATTATAAAGTTGATTTGACATAAGAAAATATGTTGCGATAACAAATCTTGAAAATATTTTTCACAGTGTGGTAACACTTTAGTTTAGGGTCAAATTCTCACTACTAATTTGCTTATTAACATGCATATTATTAGGATACTGGTTGTTTATTAGTACTTATAAGGCACATATTAATGCCTTATTCTGCATCCTGAATCCACTCTTAAAAAATATTTTCAAGATTTGTTATCACAACATATTTTCTTTTGTCAGATCAACTTTATAATAATTTATTTAGTTGCGATAACTTATTATTTTGAGTTTCTGATGGTTAAATTAATCTCCTTCATTGTATTAACTCACTTTTTCCAGTTCAATCAACTTAAAATTTTAAGGCAACCAGGTTACTTACTTTTTTAAGTTAAACCAACAATATTTTTTTTTACAGTGTAGTAATCACAACATTTTTTTCTTTTGTCAATTCAACTTAAATAATTTATTTAGTTCAGATAACTTATAATTTTGAGTTTCTGATGGTTAAATTAATCTCCTTCATTGTATTAACTCACTTTTTCCAGTTCAATGAACTTAAAATTTTAAGGCAACCCAGGTTACTTACTTTTTTAAGTTAAACCATCAATATTTTTTTACAGTGTACCCAATAAAAAAAACTATTTTCAAGATTTGTTATCACAACATTTTTTCTGTTGTCAAATCAACTTAAATAATTTATTTAGCTCAGATAACTTATTATTTTGCCTTTCTGATGATTAAATCAACTCACTTTTTTTAGTTCAATCAACTTAAAATGTTAAGGCAACCAGGTTACTTATTTTTTAAGTTAAACCAACAATTTTTTTAACAACTACCTAACTAACTAATAAGGAGTAAGGATATTATTGAGGCAATATATATTCTCACACATTAGTATTAAAATGGTCTTTGATTGACCTACTAGACTTAGAGTTATCATTAGTATTGTGTCTCTAGTGCTCATTTGAAATGCAAATGGTAACCCATAGTAGAATTCTTGGTAAATCCGTTCATTTAAATATGTTTTTGGTGGTTAAAGATCAGGGCTGATAACTCAAAGGGTTTGATCCATCACTAACATTCCTCTTAACAAAGCAAATAATCCCGGGCTCCTTCACAGCGGTTTTCCCTTTGTTTTGCCGTTGGATGAAAGTGTTTGCTGCATGACTATAGGTTTCATTTCTTACCTTATTGTTGACAAAGTAAGCATTGTATATGAACTTTCAAAATGCACACAGGCCTGAGTAGTTTTTACTTCATTAAAGTTTAAGATTAAAAGGTTTTCAAGATTACTCAGTTGCCACTTCAATTTAGTAATGGCATAAGAATGAAAGAGTATTGAGCAATTGCGCCACCTACTGGCTCTCAAGCAGATTTGAACAATCCAAACACCAGATTCCAGATTCTTGACTGAAAACGCTGTATGAATTTATGGGATTGACATGCACAAATGTTTGTCGTAAAGTCAACTATTATTTTCTGCTTAAATCTCCACCTTTTAGGATTTTAATCATTAAAAAAATATTATAAAAAAATTATGATTTACAAATGCTGATTGTTTGACAATGTCGAACTATAAGTTGAGTTGAACTATAATATGCCAGATATGCTCTGACCAAATGAATATATGTAGCCTATTAAATGCTACATCAGAGCTGAGTTACCACTATAAAGTGTGTGTGTGTGTGTGTTTGTGTGTGTGTGTGTTGCAGAGGAAGAGACCAAGAATGTATGGAAAAGTCATTTGTGTCTTGTTCACATAGACAGCGTTATTATTCACCATAAGTGAACACCATTAGAAGTGCACAAAAGAGGATTTGTTATCGGTTCACAAATGAGATGCATTGCTGATAAAGACAGTCATTATATTTTGACACTTTTTTATTTTCTTGTTGCTAAAATTTCAAATGATATTTACAGTACATCGCATTCAGTCATTGGCAGATGTCGTTATTCAACATTCGGCAGGCGATAGCATAAACAAGTGCAGATTATCTGTCAGTGTGAACGCCCTTATTTCAAAATACTAGACCTCTTAATGAACTGCATTTGTGAGTGGATATAATGTTTCAGATGGAGGTCTGGCATCTTTACAGAAAGTGAATATGTTTTCGCATTGATCAGTCCTTCTTACGAAATCAGTTGAACGAAATCCAGCTGTCATAGAGGAGAGGAGGGCTTGCACAGTTAGTTATGAACATATATTAAGATATACTTCTGATATTTAGAAGTATATCAGTAATCAAACAGTTTCTGGTCCAGACCAGAAACTGTTTGATTACTGATATTCTTCTAAATATCAGAAAATCGGCTGAATGGATTCGAAAACGGTAAAACTAAACAGTTTAACTCTGGGGGAGTTGTAAAATGAGCCTATTTTCCAAAAAAAGTAGAGTATCCCTACAGTTCCCTACAGAGGACACAGTTCGAGTGGGAGAAGTCAGACGACAAGCAGTGGAAGGGTTGAAGAGCATAAACAGCTGTGCTCAACTAATACTCTGGTGCTTTCAGTTTGGTCTACTGCCGAGATTGCTGTGGCCACTGACCGTGTACGACGTTTCTGGATAAGCTGGAAGCGTTAATAAGTTGGGAGTTCCTCAGCAGAGGGACTTAATAGTAAATGAATATTGCAGCTGCCATTCTCTGCTTTAACCGAGGAGTTTAAGAGTGCCAAGGTCAGGCTGGAAATCACTGTAAAAAATATTTTCAAGATTTGTTATCACAACATATTTTCTTTTGTCAAATCAACTTTATAATAATTTATTTAGTTGCGATAACTTATTATTTTGAGTTTCTAATCTCCTTCATTGTATTAACTCACTTTTTCCAGTTCAATCAACTTAAAATTTTAAGGCAACTCAGGTTACTTACTTTTTTAAGTTAAACCAACAATATTTTTTTTTTACAGTGTAGTAATCACAACATTTTTTCTTTTGTCAAATCAACTTAAATAATTTATTTAGTTCAGATAACTTATAATTTTGAGTTTCTGATGGTTAAATTAATCTCCTTCATTGTATTATTTTTTCCAGTTCAATGAACTTAAAATTTTAAGGCAACCAGGTTACTTACTTTTTTAAGTTAAACCATCAATATTTGTTTACAGTGTAGTAGAGTCGCGTGATAAATGTGTAAGGGAGGCAGCCCCTGTGTTAAAAACTGGTCAGCAAAGAAATCTGTGGTAGAGGCAAAGCCTGCCCTTCAAATTGGGGATATCGTTGGACAGGTACAGCATGGAAGAGGGGGTTTTGGACTCAGTTTAGCTCCTAAATGGCACAAGGCAGGCCCAGCTCAAAGGTGGAAGCTAGTCAACAAGGTGCGAAAGCGGGAGGAGAGGATGAGGTGTGGAAAGGCCATTTCCCAGGCCAAACAGGGAGAGTGGATGAGATGGGAGTGTGGAACAACGCAAGATGAGGTGTCGTGGGCTAGTCGAAGACCCTAGAGATGTCCCCTACTCGCTCAATCCAGACGGTTGTCACTGGGGAGACCACACTGTAGTTTAGCCGTCGTGTGCGCTGACGTGCCAAGTTCACTGCAGCCGTTAACGCCGGACTATGCTTCTCCATCACCATATGGAAAGAAGAGTAAATGGATGGAGAAGTATAGTTTACTGTAAAGCTAAGTCTTGTTATCTTATCTTGGCAAAAGATAAGCTAGCTGAGTACAAGTTTTAACATCTACTCTCGTGTAATGGAAATCTACAAGATGTTGGTTCAATAAAATGAATGCTTCAGGCCACAAATGTCCATTATTGAGCTGACAGGAAGTTCGACTGCCCGCAACAGCTGGTTTTCGTCAGATGGACTTTTTTTTTTTCTGGCTACACATTCTTTGGCGTGTCTTCTGGGACCTTTGGGGGCTGGACTTTAGAGAAGGATAAAGTTGCATAGATTGTGTAAGTGTTTCAAAGCTCCAGGATTTAAGATCACCAACACAGTCAAAAGATTATAATTGTGAAATTCTGTGTTTTTCAGAGCATCTTTGAGTGAAAGCATATCAAAGTCTGTCCCGGGACAAGGTAAGGTCAGTCTTTTATAAGGTGGATGATTTGTTTTCAGCTTCTTTAAGCCATTATCAGTCAAATTATATGATTGCATTGCAATGTATTTTTTTAATGAATAAAACAAAATAAAACAAAAATATAAGCAAGAATTATATTTAATGATTTAAATGCATATGCATCAATACTCTAATAAAAACAAATATATGGAAAATATATTTGTTTTCTCTTTTAAGTTATGCAAACAAATGGTTGAATCAGAATTTTAAATTAATAATGAACATTTGGAAATTGTGAATTGAAGAGTTCAGATGCAAAAGCCTCTAAATGCCATTTGAAATTTTCTTCTTTAATGATGATTTTTATCAAACTTGTATATTTAAGTTCAGTAATTTCACTTAAATAACAATTAATAGGTAATTATCATTGCCATTTAAGTGCAATCACTGAACTTAAATATACAAGCTTGATAAAAACTATCATTCTAGAAGAAAATTTCAAATGGCACTTAGAGGCTTTTGCATCTGAACTCTTCAATTATTATTGTTCTGCACTGTAACTATATTGATATTTGTATACTTAGTTTTTGGTCCTAAATGAACAAATGTTGATGAAGGATTTCCTGTGAGTATCGATGATATCTTGATGATAAACTTTTCATTTGTATTATAGAAAACCAGCGACCAGACATCTGCAGAATAACAACACTGAGCTCTTTGTCCACTATAATGAGTTCTGTGGGCGTTTCCTCACTGGGAGCCTCTGAGGGCAGTAGTGATAAAATAGTGATAAATGTCGGAGGGGTAAAACATGAGACCCACAAGAGCACCCTAATGACCCTTCCGGGGTCCCGTCTTGCCCAGCTGGTGGACACTGAGAAGCCTCCGTCAGAGCTGTTTTTCGATCGGCACCCTGAGCTCTTCAGTCACGTGCTGCAGTATTATAGGAGCGGGAAGCTGCACTACCCCACCACCTGTTGCAGTGTGATGCTGGAAGAGGAGTTTGATTTCTGGGGAATCAGCGGCACAGATGTGGAGCCCTGCTGTTGGGCGGCTTTTCAACAGCACCGAGATGCCGTAGAAGCTTTGGCTCAGATTGACCCTTCAGTGACGGAGAATGACCAATCCGGCCACACTAGAGCATGGCAGCCGAAGATATGGGCTCTCTTTGACAACCCGCTTTCATCCACTGGCGCCACGGTATCACAAGTGTCTTTCTTTATGCTGGGTTGTGCGAAATTCAGAATCATCTATCTATCTATCTATCTATCTATCTATCTATCTATCTATCTATCTATCTATCTATCTATCTATCTATCTATCTATCTTACCTGCCTATCTACTGTATCTATCTATCTATCTATCTATCTATCTATCTATCTATCTATCTATCTATCTATCTATCTATCTATCTATCTATCTATCTATCTATCTATCTATCTATCTATCTATCTTACCTGCCTATCTACTGTATCTATCATCTATCTATCTATCTATCTATCTATCTATCTATCTATCTATCTATCTATCTATCTATCTATCTATCTATCTATCTATCTTACCTGCCTATCTACTGTATCTATCTATCTATCTATCTATCTATCTATCTATCTATCTATCTATCTATCTATCTATCTATCTATCTATCTATCTATCTATCTATCTATCTATCTATCTATCTATCTATCTTACCTGCCTGTCTGTCTGTCTATCTGTCTGTCTGTCTGTCTGTCTATCTGTCTGTCTATCTATCTATCTATCTATCTATCTATCTATCTATCTATCTATCTATCTATCTATCTTACCTGCCTATCTACTGTATCTATCTATCTATCTATCTATCTATCTATCTATCTATCTATCTATCTATCTATCTATCTATCTATCTATCTATCTATCTATCTATCTATCTATCTATCTATCTATCTATCTATCTATCTATCTATCTATCTATCTATCTATCTATCTTACCTGCCTGTCTGTCTGTCTGTCTATCTATCTATCTATCTATCTATCTATCTATCTATCTATCTATCTATCTATCTATCTATCTATCTATCTATCTATCTTACCTGCCTATCTACTGTATCTATCTATCTATCTATCTATCTATCTATCTATCTATCTATCTATCTATCTATCTATCTATCTATCTATCTATCTATCTATCTATCTATCTATCTATCTATCTATCTATCTATCTCTTACCTGCCTATCTACTGTATCTATCTATCTATCTATCTATCTATCTATCTATCTATCTATCTATCTATCTATCTATCTATCTATCTATCTATCTATCTATCTATCTACATGTCTGTCTGTCTGTCTATCGATCAACATCAGTCTGTCCGTCCTTCCGTCTGTAATTTAATATACTATTAAGGCCTATAGTATTCAGGAATTTTAAAAGGCATTCTCAGTTCAGTTGTGAATGACGCTCAACCCTAAATCAGTTACTGTTACTCCGCAGTTATTCTATATGAGTGGCTCCTTGCTCATTATTTCTGTTTCTGTTTCTCCAGGTCACGGCGGTCGTATCTATGTTCTTCATCCTGCTCTCTATCACTGCATTCTGTCTGCAGTCATATCTGGATAGAAAGCCTCCCTACGTTTTTGGGGTATCGGTAGACAACTCGAGCGAGTATCAAACCGAGAACCCCTCTGCTCCTAGAGCTCTGGATGCTGTGGAGTTGGTGTGTTCGCTGTGGTTCGTGTTTGAGTTTGTGATGCGTGCTGTCAGCTGCCCGAGCAAACTGAGCTTCATCATGAACGTGATGAACATCGTCGACGTGCTGGCCCTGTTCCCCTGGTTCTTCCGCTGGTGTTCAGGGTCGTTCTGCTTTCAGGCATTGGGCTTCCTGCATGTAATGCGATGCATTCGTGTCTTTCGCGTCTTCAAGCTGATGCGGTATGTGTTCAGTGTGAGAGTTCTTGAACACACACTCCGGGCCAGTGCGACGGCTCTCTGCACACTTCCTCTTATTCTCTTCTGCTGCACGCTCATCTTCGGGACCATGATTTATTACGCTGAATTCAATACAACTGATTACCAATCTCAATTTAAGGACATTCCCTACAGTTTTTGGTGGGCAGTGATCACACTGACCACAGTGGGTTATGGAGACATGTATCCCGAAGAATCTAAAGGCAAGTGTGTAGCCGTTCTCTGTGCAATGGTTGGGATTCTGCTCATCATCCTGCCTGTGCCCATAATCATCAACAACTTCATTAAGTTCAACTCCCTACTCAAGACAAAGGATTCAATGCCTAGAAGGAAGGAGAAGAGAGTCCATGCGTCTACCGCTTAGAGGCTAAATAGAAACCGAGGTATCAATGAAACATGTCAAGATATCTTTTATTACATGTGTGTGTCTTTTGCAGAATCTGTGTTGACTGGAGAAAGAGGCACCAGAGTCTTAAACTGGAAGATAAATATCATTACACATCGTTCCTAATGCCTTAACAATCCGACCCCTAATATTTAAAGGTGTCACAGAAGTAATTCCTGTACTCAGCTCCTTAGCTGTTTTTGGACTGTTTTTATGAGCCGCTACAATGTATAAAATGGATATATAACCAATACTAAACCTAAATATATGGTCAATACATTCACTGCATTACATGCATTATACAAGAGCAATGCCTGTGCAAAATCAGTTTTTGTGTTTTTTGTTGGTTTGGTATGTTTGAGTTGCTGAATAGCCTAGGCTACTATTACACATAATAATGTAACAAATGTATAATAATAATGTAACAAATGTATAACACTGTAATAAATGTATAATTACATTGTAATGAACACATAATAACACTAATGTATAATAACATTTTAATGTATAATTACATTGTAATAAATGTATAATAAGACTGTAACAAATGTATAATTGCATTGCAATAAACGTATAATTACATTGTAATAATGTATGACTAATGTTTTACACCACTTTATCAAAAAGAATTGCTACTTTTTTCATAAAGAATAATGTAACAAATTTGTAATAAACATATAATTACATTCTAATATGTATAATAACACTGTAACAAATGTATAATAACAACCTTGAAACATTGTTTTTCATGTAGAAATATTGCATGCTGTAACTTTCAAATGGATGTTGTGAGTTGCAGATAACAGAAACAATCAGATGATAAAGTGCTCTGATAAACACTGTCAGCTTTGCACAAAACGTGCTTTTTTATTATTATATATTTTTTGTCTTACCCTCCGCATGTGGAAAATAAGGTTCAATCTGTGAAATATGTTGTATATATCAAAATGAATTTCAATACAAATATGTTAAGTTACACATCATTTGTTGTATTTCGCATTTTATCATTTTTTATTTGTGTGTGTGTGTGTGTGTGTTAACTGGATAACCCCATTTAACCTGTTTGAAAATTGTTACAAAATGTTTGTTCACTATGTGTTTACTGTGTGTGTTAACAAATAGAAACCAGCTTCTTTCTTTGGGTGTAAAAAAGGCACAATATGTAATGCTCTATTTGCCCTTGGTTAATTTATTTCAAAGTCAAAATCCCAAATAAAGAAGACCATCACCCAGGGATTATTTATTTATTTATTTAATGAAATCAAGTTACAGGGTTACATGTAGCTGATCTTTTTCTACATTATTGTCAACTACAGTTAGAGTAGTTTAAGTGGAACTTCGTTGGGCCAAAGGTAGCCGATGAAACCCCGTTTTATGGCCTGCCATGATCGTAGGAAGAAGGCCATGATGATTCTTCCCATGTTCTTGTTTTGCATTTTGTCCACTGAACGTTCTCTCAGGGTTAAACGAGGCGTAACCGCAACTCCAGAATTTTCCACCTGGAAATTGAGACACAGATGCTCAATGATGGCGATGTTCTCTGTCCCAGTCCCTGGTTCCAGTCCGGGCATTTTATTCATAGCCTTCCACTCCTCCATCTGAATCTCATATTCTCTCAGAGAAATTTCAGGCATCATATTCTGTAATAGATAAATACAGAAACAATTTTTTCAGCGAAAAAAAACACACAAAAAAAGAAAATAAAAATTGAAACACCCTCCTATAGTGAAACATATAAGTGTCACATATTTGTAACTAATTTGATTACTGATGCGTTTTATCTTCCATTCATTGAAGAAATTTAATCAGTTTCCCATTTCTGACACACTGTGATGTGACAGTGATGACGTTAATGATGTTATATTAGACGCTGATGCTCTGAAGTTTGTGTAAAAAAAATTGATTTGCATTATTTAATTTAGATTTTTTAAATATTATTTATTTCACAAATGTTCTTTAAACATTTGAACATGTACTTCTTTAAAACAAAAGTACTTGTGAAAACATCTGCTGTAACAGGACGCAGCAGTTTTATATGTGCAGATGACCTCAAAACTGACAGTTCTGACACGTTTTTGGTTTTCTAAAAAGTCTAAAAGCGGCGTTGCGCTTTTGGTTACTCTTACTATATCTGCCATATCTTTATTTTCAGACTTAATATCGATGTGAAAAAAGAATGAAATTGAAGTAAAAGTAGCATATTGGGGCTAGATGACGTAACGTTCTGTTGCGGTGTCCTTATTGGCTGACGGACAGCGCAATCAAAAATTCACCTGGAGGGGGGCGGGTCTCCATTGCATGACATCATAACGCCTTGAAAGCACAAAGTGTATTGTGTACTTCATTTATTTTACTTTATTCCGCTCTTAGCTCAAGTAGTAGAGAGGGTGACGCGATCATCACGTACTCGTGGGTTCGAATCCCAGAGCAAAATTGCATTTATCTGTTCTAAACTTTAAAAAGTCACTAGCCTACATAAACTTATAAATAAATATAAACAAAGATATCATAATAATTAATACTAATAATTAAGAAACGTTAAAAAACATTAACTATTATTTTAAAAAAAATTAATAATAAAACGAATGACTTACTTATTTGGCTTTGGAAAAGCAGATGAAAGAAACAGCTGTCAGGTGTTCCAGTTGGCAGACTGTTGGAGATCTTGGGCTTATACTTATAAGAGGACATTGTACGTTAATATTTTAACTTTGACTGTTTTTCCCTAAAAATGACTGCTAAAGAGACTTCTGCTGTATGTGTAAGAATTTGTTTAGCAGTCTATGGCCAGAAGTCTCTTTAGCGCCATCTAGTGGAATCTAAATTGAAAAATTGATTTAAGTCACTGATATCTTTTTCATTTTATTATAATATTATTATATTATCATTACAATTAGTTTATCCCAACTGAGTTCGCGTCCATCCATTTTTGGTGGCACCAGCATTCTGAAGAAAATTATGAACACACAAAAAAATATTTTCCTTTTATTGAATAGCGTCAAATTACTCTTCTCATCATCCTTTTGTCATATGTACCAAATAAATTCCAACTTTAACACATATCTGTAACACTTAAGAGTAACTTTTATTAATAAAATTAACTAGCATTACTTAATTAAATAACACCTAAAAGATCATTAGTCAAATGACAATGATCAGACAATGATCAAATTCATCATGCTCATCAGCGCCCTCTGCTGTGAGATTGTGTCACTGCGCTGGTTTTACCTGAGGCTCCGTCATCATCTGTATCCGGGTGTGCACAAGTAAACAAACTGCATAACGAACGGCATTTATTTTTAGGAAAAAGACCCCTAAGCTTGGTGACAAAATGTGTAAGTAAAACTACGTGAAGAACAAAATACTAAAAGTCTGTAAAATAAACATTTAGCAGCAGCCAGAAGTATCCGGGTGCACTGCACGACAGGTAGGCCTACGTTTATGATGCACTTGAATATTTATAACAGATAACTTAGTTATTGTTTTGAAGACTTTTAAATTACAGCGTTTCACTTTCTGTTAATCTACTTTAGGTTTTTTAGATCAAAATATGCATGAGAAACAAACAGGCTGTGCAAAAAACTGGAACAGACGGTGCAACAAAGTTGGCTCGACGTTTGATATTTGATATGTTTGATATTCAGCCTGAGCCTCCATAAAATTGAAATTATCATTAACGGTTTATTATGATGGTAAAAATGGGTTTATGTGTGTAGAAGAGAAGAGTTCACGCTTCAATTAACGAGGTAAAATTGAGTTAAATCACTGCCATCTTTTCAGCCTTAATAAACCTTAATAAATATAATTAGTATTAGTTTATGCCAAAGTTTATCCAATATTTATTTTTTCACTCATATTTCATATCAAGGTGGCGATAACATTTTGATAAAAGACTTCCTTAATGTTTTAGATATTTAAACTAAATAATACATAAGCTAGTAACAATAATTAAGTGTTCAAAGAAATTTATTTTCATAGATTTCCATTTATTTCAACTCATCATTAAAAAGTCATTATAAAAAAAAGGTTTATTTATAGCTATATTCTCCCTCTTACAGTTTCTGTCAGCAATGAATACAGGTAAAAAGAAGATACAGAAATGAGATTGAAATAGCAAAGAATAACATATTACAACAAAAGGATTTATTTTAATGGTTAAAACTTTTGTGCACAATTTATTTTACAGCAATTGTTTTTTTTTTATTAATGTCCTTTTTTACCCAAAAAAAAAGCTCTGTGAATCATTGTATATGTGTGTTTGCTGACGTGTCTTCGGATGGTGAAGTTTCAGAAAGACAGTGCTGTTGTTGAAAGTCTGAGTGAGAAAAATGGCTGAAATTTTTGTTAATGAAACCTAACATTCTTAGTCTAACATAGCGAACTAAAAAAATATATCTAAAAGCATTCATTATGAGCCTCAGTAAGATTACATATATATTTTTAGCTGTGAAAGCTTAAAGAAGAAGCTTTTGTGTCTCGGTTTTCCTGTAGCTCGCCTCGGACACTAGAGCGTTGGCGCTTGCAACACCAAGGTCATGGGTTCGATTCCCAGGGAAAGCAATAACTGATAAGAATGAATATGTGTACCTTAGGCCTGTTGGAACGAATTTTGAAATTTGAATATAATTCGAATATTTAAAAAATCAATACTGTTCGAATGTTGAAGTTCGAATATTGCTTTTTTATGTATATTTGTTTAATTTTCTTTTATATGCAATCTTGCCTTTTCGCCACCTTGGCTTACACGCATGTGAAAATGAAATGCCTTTGTTTCGTCTGATAAACAATACAGTTTTTGAATCGTAACACAAGTGTGCACGTTATCTCCTCATAACAACTGTCAAAAATGGTAGCCTAAATGTTTAACGACGTAAAAACCACCTCCCAAAGCACCTGTGAAGCGAAAAACGCAAATCTCTCAATGGATTCGGTGGAACCGTCTAATCGAACTGAATATAATAATATAAGTTTCAGAGTTTTTGGTGGTGTTTCGCAGAGATATCTGCCGAAAACCATCAGAAGCACTTCAACCATATTCAGCACTAATAAAATGTGTATTAGATGTCCCTCTAGTGGACCGAACATGTAACAACAACCACATGCTATAGTGGCATTGGCTATCCGTAAGCATGTGTAATGTCGTAAATAGTAATAATAGGATAAATTTTAGCATTTAATATTCAAATATTATTTGAATATTAAATAAAATAAGGAATGGAATTCGAATAATATTAAAGAGAAAGATTGACAGCCCTAGTGTACCTTGACATGCAATGCAAGTCGCTTCGTAAATGTAAATGTAATTATGATCTGAGAAATGACTTGTTTTAGATTGTCATTGATGACACCAGCTTATGACCGAAGTCTCTTTTTCAGAGACAGTTGTGGGGAAAATGAATGTTTGGGCTGTGTTCGTCGCAGGTTTGTCCAGGGCGGGTTTCTTCACGGATGGGTAAGTAGAGGAGACGGGTGAAAGCAAGGTTTGAGCCGGCGAGGACGGCGTAACAGAGCTTCCGTTGTCATGAGGCGTTACATGGGACACACACGCGCACACACACCCGGCATCCGTCAACAGCCTGATGATGTCATTTCGGAATCGTACGCCGACCAGCGCGTAAAGCAAAGGGTTCAGGCAGCACCTCACGTAGGCCAGATTGCGCGTCACGTTTTCCTGGAGGTGGAACCTGGTCCACTCGTCGCAGAGTTTGGGTGTGGGCGTGAATATTTTAATCAGCAGCACCACGGTGTACGGAAGCTGGAAAACCAGGAAAAGAACCACCAGCAATGCCATCAAGCGCAGGGTCCTCTGTCTACGCCAGCCTTTCCCACCGGCGCGGATCAGCACGCGTCCGATCGCACCGTAACACGCCACCATCGCCACGCAAGGGATGCAGAATCCTGCGATCTTCGCCATCTTGGCCCACAGCTTCCATTTACTCACTTCATCGCCCCAAACCTTCATATCGCACATGTTCGAACCCATGTTGTTGTCTATGGAGCTGAAGCGCAGGTCTGGCAGGCTCAGGAATACCGAGGTTACTGTGACGCCTAACGCCGACAGTGTGCTGTAAAACAGCGTGCCAGAGGTCATCTTACGCACGGCCCGGGTGCGAACCACCACTAAGTAGCGGTCGACGCTAATGCACGCCAACAATAGCAGACCGCTGTAGGTGTTGATGGCATACATGCCACGGTTTAGCTTGCACATGGCCTCTCCGAACTCCCAGCTGCCGATCAGCGTCTCTCCCGTCTGTAACGGAAGAGTCAGCAGGAGCAGCAGGTCCGACAGAGCCAGGAAGAAGAGGAAGACGTCGGTCATGCAGCGTAGACGTAGCCGGCGGTACAGCGCGAAGGTTGCAATGACCAGCCCGTTTCCAATCACGCCTAAGACGAAGACGATGAGGAAGATGGTGGTCTGGACAGCAGTGATGGTCAGCTCCTGCTCTGTGCTGGCTTCACAAAGCTCTGCAACCTCAGAGAAGTTGCCGTCGGTGAGGCCAACTTCACCTAAATCAGTGTAGTTGAATAACTCGTAGTCGCTCGTTAGGCCTGACGTGAAGTCTTCTGTAGTTGAACCGGAGCTCGCCATACCTGTAAAACATTGGAGAGAAGCGGAAACCAGTCATCAGGTGGGCTTATTATGGAAGGTGAACCATGTAAAGCATATTTACGTGAATTAGCGATCAATCTAAAAGAAACACGTCGTGCCTTCTGCCCACTCATCGGTGGTTCATACTTTTAAGGAAGTATATGTCTACATTTTTGCTTGTTTATAAAGTAAATGTAAGAATAACTTTTATACTGTTTGTAATATTTTAGCTTTTATTGGACAAAACAACTTTTTAGATTTACTTGATTATCAATTATAACATGATCTGTGATCATACAGTTTTTTTCTTTTTGAAAAATCATGTTAAAATGTGGCTATCGACTGTGAAATGTGTATTTGTATCTCTTAGTCCTCATTTTATTACATTGTTGACTGTGAACTCATTATTCTTACTAAATGGACCAATAAAGCCTGATGTATTAAATGTGTTAAACACACACACACACACACACATACACATGTTTTGTTGCATGCTTCCACTAGAGGCGCTCTTTACAGGTCATGTTTCTAAACCATGTCGTGAATAATCTATGAACTGAGCAAATCAAAGATGCTATAATTATCATGTAAACAGTGTTGCAGAAGTTACACATTTAGTAGATTTGTATTTATTTATTATTAAACCAGTTCGGGTTAGTTAGACATGAATCATCTTTGAGATCTTCTCAGTTTCACATGTGTGATTAAAAGGGCAGAAATCTGGGTGGTTTCCTTGTGAAGTGATTGATTTAATTATGTGCTGTAAAAATGTCGTAACTTTAGCACTGACTATCCAGCAGGTTTTGCTGCAAACTTTTATGTTGTGGGCTAATGTAAAAAGGATTTTTGTGGTAGGACTAGGCAAAAATGCTGGAAACAAATGACCAAATTAATTCATTATTGAGGTTTTTAGTTTACATAGCACATCTTTCACGTCTCAGCACAGCTTTTTACGTTTTTTTTTAAATTGAACCAATATGCGTTGTTTAATCAATATGAACTAAAAGGTGTTTTGGAAGCACTGCAGGGGATTTCATTGTTTGACTGGTTTCCAGTTTTATATACTGCCGCTGATTCTGTCAGGTTTCACGAGTTCATTATTTGCATATATTTAAGTTATATATAATATTTATATCTGCATGTTTATTTACAGCAAATTAAATAGCCTATATTTTGAACATCTAGCGGCAGTCTTAAATATCTGTATTTGATTCAATTGTTGTTGTTTTTTAAGAAAAAAAAAAAAACATTTATTCAGAGCTGCATAACCATGCTAGAAAAATAAGATCGTGAAGTCGTGCGCCTCACAATAACAAGCGTAGCCTAACTATATTTACCGGCGCCACAATTGAGACAGATGCATCAGCGATTAAATGTCACCTTAGTTTCAGGTGTGTTTTTGTGGTGAATGGGAAGCACGAAATATCTATGTTAAAAATCTTTAAATAAAGTCTAAAGTGAAATTGTACTCATTCCACTACTCATCGCGTGTCACAGACAGACAGTCGTTGGCGTTATCTGACACCCAGGTCGTGCTTTCAGTCAGCATCGCGTGCCAACGCGCTTTAAAACCCTGTCACGAAGAACAGGGTCTTTATTTGAGCAGAAATGAAGATAAAAGTGCAGAATGAAGTGAGGGATATTTCTGTGGAGAGACAGGCTGCCGTGTGTGTGGCTGTCTGCTTGTGAGGATGAGGATGAAGAAACTCAGGACTGAATCAGACGTTAAAGCCAATGGCTATTCAG